GTATCATCTGTCTAGAGAGTCTTACTGACCTCCAACACTGTCCATACAGTGTAGAGTAACTACACTGGGGCATGACCTGTCTGATAGGGGAAAGGCTCTGGGCCCTGGGCCTCCAACAGCCCTGGTCATGGCCAAAAGGGTATGAGAGTGAAGTAGTCTTTATTCCTCTCTTAATGGTGCTTTTCAGGACACCAAGCAGTCCTTGGTGGGCCTCGTGGGAAAGCTGGCCTTGAAGCTGCAGGGTTGCTTTTCTCTGACCAATGGGGTTGTGAATCTGGGACGTTTTTATCAGCAGTAGATGAAAGTAGAACAGAAAAAAGGCAGGAGCAGGGTGACGGCATTAGGGTCCTATGCAACCTTGGGACAGGTTTGTCCTTGAGACTTGGTGATTCCTGTGTGGAGTAGCAAAGATAGTGGTCAGGGATGTCCATGGGTCAGTCCTGTCCAAGGTGCAGAAAGGGTTGGTTTACTGTGTCCCCCACTAGATGAGTCTTTTCAGTGCTTGCTTGGGAGGAGTATCAGATATGGAGCCACACTGTTGCACTGAAGTTGGTAGCACTTGCAGGACAGGATGCTGAGAGCCAATGCAGAGATAGGGTCCCATGCAGCCTAGACACCTTCTGTTTGACCCACTGCTTGCTTTCCATAGTAAACCCTGGCACGGCTCCTCCCAGCTATACACTGCGAGACCTGCAACCTCAAATGCCTTGACATCTGGCAAACTCCTAGGAGGTATAAATCTTTGCTGAAAGCAAGGAAGCCATGGGATCTATTCCAGCCACAGATTTGGCTCACTGAATCCAAGGGCAGGCAAATGAATTGTGATTGCTGGTTCTGAGCAGGCAGAGTTTAGGGTTGGGGATATGATTTGTCATGACAAGCACTGAGTTCTGCACTTGATCTGTTTTTTAACTATTGAGATGTGTGTGTGTGTTTGTGTATGTGTGCACGTGCATGATTTATTATCCAGAAAGGCTTTGCCTTTGGCTTTTATATCTGCAGAGCCTCCTAGTTGGGTCAAGATTAGCCTGAAGGAAACAGTGCTATGCTGCTGGAAGAGCAAGGTGGGCCAGACAACAGCGTCTCTGAAAACAGGTCTATTAATAGGTGCTTTTCTGTGTCCTGTGTTTTATGGACAAATTTGAAGCTCATGGCCCTATTGACAAATTAAATACAAAGCAGGAGGAAAGTAAGTTTTGAGTACAGGAGAAGAAATCATAGGAAAGCCTTCAGGAGGTCATCTAGTCCATCCTTTCTCATCACTCTAGGCCTCCTGGTTTACATCCAGTCCAGCTTAGATATTAATTACTTCATTTCCTACAGTGTATTTTGATGGTACAGCCATGCTGACCTAACAGTAAATTTGCCTCAGGGGAATGGCAAGTGGGGATAGTCCCACTTACACCTCGTCATTCCCCTTCCCTTGCACAGAAGCTCATCTGACCACAGAGCGAACCAGTGCCGGGAGATGGATCAGTGGAAAACCAATCCTACTGAAAAAATGCCAGTAATTATCTGCTGGTTTTAACTTTCAGGATCTCACTTGGACAGCACTGCTGCCTGTAGGGAAGGGCCAGAGTGGAGTCCAGCAGCAGTTCCTCCTTGCAACAGTAGCTGGCTGCTCAACTAGCTTAGCTGCACCGATGGACTGCTCCCTCTATGGTCTCCATGGCTTTGCTTGTGGGTCTTCTCCCAGTTTTGGGAAAAACATCAGTGGGAGCAGTGCTTTTTCTCACAGCTTTATTTGCTTTTGTGGTAGGTGAAGCAGAATAAGCTAGTGAGTGTGGACCTGGCTGGAGGGTATCAGTGGGCTCCTGTGCAGGAAGGGGAGTAAACCAGGCTGGCCCAAAGCTCCTTTCTGGGCTAAAACTGAGAGGGAGTGGGCATCGCTGCTAATAGCAAACCCTGCTCTGCTGCTACCCAGAGTTATACTGGTACCAAAGGAAGGGATCACCCAGGCATTTCCTTCTCTAAAGGTTTGAAAACAGATGACATGTCCTGCCCTTGTCAAAGGAGGATGACTACAGTAATGCCGCCTAGTTCAGGGGCAGGGAGAGGAGGTGCCCACATGGATCTTCCGAGGTATTTCTGGTCCTGTCTTCTCCTCCCTGGTCCAGCAGAAGAGAAATTGCTCCTTCTGGAGCAATTGTGTGACAGTGGTGGTGTTTACATATTCTCATGTTACCCCTCAGGTGAAACCACTCACGTCCCCATGTGGCCCTGCACTCAAACCTGGAGCTGACCTCCTGGTTATTATGATGGGTTGATTTAGCAGGGAAATTCAATACGGATCGCTGCTGCTGTGAGGATGCACCCTTGTGTCACAAGGGGCTCACGAACACTGGAGCTTCCTTCATCCCTATCTCCGTCCTCCTCCTCTTCCTCCAACCAGCTGATTTCTTTCCCTCATCCCTGGAGTTCATCCTTGTGCCTTACGCACCTGGCTGCCTACCTGGGCAGACTCCACACGCCATGCAGTCTGCTGCACCTCAGCTGGGCCGGGACTGGAAAGTGGCTGACGATGCCCTCCTGAAAGCCCTGCTGTTGATCTCGGGGAGACCAGGGCTGGGTCCAGAGAGAGTAAAAGCGCCGCTGTGATAAATGCTCGGCTTGTCTGAGAGCTTCTCAGGGCCTCCTCCTTGGGCTCACTGCTTGAGGCACACCTCCTTCCATCCTGGCATTCCTCTAAGGAGGCACGGCTTGGGAGCGGTGTACTAGTGGCAGGGTTTGGTGAAGACCTGACCACCAAAGGTTGAGCACATCCAAGATCCTGAAGGGACTGAGGTCCTAACCCTCTCCCCCAGGAATCTGAGATAGTATTTTTGCAGATCTTGCAACCTGGATCTGTACAGGACAATTCCTGAGAATTCATCCCAATGTGCCTTATGCTATTCTTTTTTGAGATTCATCCTGAAGGAACCTGAGGCTCAGAGGCAGCCTCTTTGCTGTCTGCCGGTCCATGGTTGCTGTTAACAGCTGATATCCACTGACAGGATTTGCTTGGTGTACGGAGCAGAAGGGGAGGATGGAGAGAGGTGCCTTAAACTTGTATTTATGCCTAATGATTTGTGTAACAAGGCAAGGACGGGTTCCTCATGTGCCTTGCAATTTACATCTTTTACTGACAAGATTATTTTTAAGCACTGTTTGTTACTAAACAGAAGTACAATAGAGTTTGTATTTTTTCCCTGGGAAACAGGGAAGGGTATGAGTGTTACGTATTAACCATCCCCTTCCCAACTCCCATCTGCTGACTTTGTATCGTTGGAAACATTGACAATATTTTAAGCTTTGTACTGTACTGATGATTATTTAAAAACCTTAGTGAAAAAAAAGAAATCTGTAAAAGCAAAACGATTGGTGTGGTGTGAAATTCCCAAATGCACAACTACAGAAGGTTATGAGTCATTAGGAAGAAAAGTCGATAATAATTATAGAGTGGATAATAATTATAACAATAATGAACAATAGGGTGTGGTTTTATCTGTGCATCTCAAAGCACTTTCCAGGTTTCACAATAACTATGTCATTTTCATTCCCTTTTCACAAGGGAGGTGCAGAATGGCTGCCCTGACACTGATTAGAGGGATTTAAGTTTATCATCCACAAAAGTACTTGGGTGTCCAGTTTTCCTTAATTTCTGTCAGAGGTGAGTATCTAGTGATTTGATGGCCTGGCATCAAAGCAGTGCAGCGTCAGTGGCCAAGCTGTGAATACAAGTGCCTGTTCAAGCAAAACATTTCTGCACATGCTTAAAATTAAGCCAAAGAGACACATCCATTGACAGACAGAAGGATATCAATCAGTTAGACATGTGCCTACCTGAAATAAGGCTAGAGCTTCTGTTCTTCTTGCTGATAGCTGTGCAGAATCACAGAATGGTTGAGTTTGGAAGGGACCTCTGGAGGTCATCTGGTCCAATCCCCCTGCTCAAGCAGGGCCACTGAGAGCCAGTTAGCCAGGACCATGTCCAGATGGCTTTTGAATATCTCCAAGGATTGAGATTCCACAACCTCTCTGGGCAACCTGTGCCAGTGCTCAGTCACCCTCACAGTAAAAAAAGTGTTTCCTGATGTTCCAAGGGAGCCTTTTGTGTTTCAGTGTGTGCCCATGGCCTCTTGTCCTGTCACTGGGCACCACTAAAAATAGCCTGGCTCTGTCCTCTTTGCAACCTCCCTTCAGGTATTTATATACATTAATAAGTTCCCCCCTACCCCCAAGCCTTCTCTTCTCTAGCCTGAACAGTCCCAGCTCTCTCAGCCTTTCCTCCAGTCCCTTAACCATCTTTGTGGCTCTTCATTGGACTCTCTCCAGTATGTCCGTGTGTGTTTTGGACTGGGGAGCCCAGAACTGGACACGGCACTCCAGGTGTGGCCTCACCAGTGCTGAGTAGAGGGGAAGGATCACATTCCTTGACCTGCTGGCAATACTTTGTCTAATGCAGCCCAGGATGCCATTTGCCACCTTTGCCGCAAGGGCACATTGCTGGCTCATGTTCAACCTGGCATCCACCACGATGCCCAGGTCTTTTTCTATAAAGCTTCTTTCCAGCCAGGTGGCCCCCAGTCAGTTTTTAATCTACCTCACTGTCTGCTCATCCGGCCCCTACATCAACAGCTCGTCTCTGAGGATCTTATGGGAGACAGTGGCAAA